TGTGTTATCATTTCGATTGTCACGTGGCGTGGTCGAATGATTGTCACGGTCAAATGGTTGCTTGACCTTGTGTTAGTGTGATTGTGCTTTCTTTACCTTTGTGCCTGTTGAGAGTAGAGGACCGAGGGCCTTCGTAGGAGACACAAAGGAGAAATAGACTGTAAGCATGAAAGTCTTTTGGGCTTAAAAAAAAAAAAAAAAAAAAAAGATTGCATAACTTGTGAGTAAATCTATTGGATAAACCCACTGCAGTGGTTTCATAATATTACAAAGTGAAAAAAAAAAAAAAAAAAAAAAAAACGCAGATCGTGCCGGCAATCAGCAGGCGCTCTCGTATCAGTCAATTGCAGCCAGAAATGCATTTATTTTGCTTTCAAACAAAAAAATAATAATAATAACGGCGGACGTGGCATGTTTTGAAACCCTAAGGGCTTAAACTAAAAGCAAAAAAAAACCGCACCTGCAAAGAAACCACGCTCCAACTCGAAATGAGCGATTTCGGTCCAAAAGTATCCGTTGGGCTTTTTTTTTTTTTCCCCTCTGACACCAAGGCCAACCCCTGTAAATATGACACCTGGTCTGACACCACGGCCATCGGTACTTCCGTTGCCTTTTCGAACTCTGTGCAGTTTTCTTTGCCGACGCGTGTTTTTTTTTTGCCCATTCGATACTCAAAGGTGACATAAACGTACTTACCCCAAAAACACACACGGAAGCGAAATTGGCTACAACCTTCAGGATAACTTCGGGGGTCAAGTCCCACTTACGCGTTGAGCTAGGTCTGCGTTGATATTTCGACCATCAGCGACACAGAGCGACCTCCAGAATCCATTCAGGCCGTGGACATCGTGTAGCTGATAGACAGTCACCGTTGGGAAAATTTTCGGGGCTTTTTAGGGTGAGTTAAAACTCATAAAAAAATAGTTTCAAGTGTGCGAAAAGGGTTAGTGGGCCTCCCATCTACGTTGAGCTAGCTGAGTATCGCAAAGGTAGGCAGCTAGCTCAACGCATCGTGAGTTTGCTTCTCTCACGTCTCCATGCGTAGTTCACGTCATTTTTTTGGGTGAACGCCACAACCCTCAATTATTTCCTGACACACTGGCGTCGGCTTTTCCGTCTCACGAGATCTTGGCATGAATCTACCCACAAAAAACATGGAGAATTCCGTCCGCACGTCCCTTGTTCGACAACATGTCCACGTTCACACACGTTCATGCGCTACTGGCCGCGTTACGGTTCAAATGCAGTGGTGAAGGACATGTGTGCTTTGAAGAGCACTGTGTAGCATTGCAATGGCATTGTTGGTTTCACACGTATTTCGATGACCACTTCAATCTTCCCTCTATGTACGTTGTCGTACATGCTGGCAGACCTACGTCCCCTCGACTCATAAGACGTCCACATTCAACCTATTCTATGTGAATCAAAGGTGGCAACTGGGTAACCGTTGCCCGTTGTCGCGCGCATCGGTCCGATACCACTCAGAGGTAGCGTGGGACCCTCTCGGCCGCGTCACGCAGGAGTCAGGGTACAACCCTTGTTGCGATACGTTCATGGAGCTTCCGTAAGCCGCTCCGGCCGCGTGCGCCAGCCATACCTCTCGCGAGCCTCTACGACAGGACAGGGCCTACGCGAGGCACGACTACCTCCACCTTACGGGAGTTGTCACCTCGCTTCGGTGGGCGTATCCCCGCCGAGCTACCAGTCCACAGTACGAAAGCTGATCAGCTGCAATCGCAGAGGTAGACCAGCCGAGGGCGTTTCTCGTTCGCTGTAGCATAAGGGGTACGCGCGGTACTACGCCTCTGTCGGACCCGCACGCGAACCGACATCTGGGGGGGCTGAGGTCCCAAGCGCGACTCGTCGCCGGTCGACTAGGACGTATCCCACACGCCACGCGCACACCACTATAAGGTACATAAAAGTAAAGCACACGCACACACGCACACAAGAACTGAACGACGCAAATGACGTACAACGCGACACACTCCTAGCTCCTTAGTATCCAACCCCTGACTTTGCGCAGTGGAAGTCGGTAACTGCCGTACGCGAGGTTTAGTATAAGATCGCTCGAACGTAGGATCCACGCATACCAATTCACAATGCAGTTCTACGTGAGTAACTGCGATGACGGCGCATTATGTAGTGTCTATACCCAAATGGCCTATTCTGAGCCATGCGGTTGCTTCCGATGCTCAGGCGTCGGCTGAAGTGCGCGCTATGGGGGGGGGTAACCCTTTAGCGGGCGCAAAACCGGCCTCAGGGTTTTACCGCCTTCTGCACCTGAGGTGTCCCAAAGGGTGCGGGGTAAGACAGTCCCTAGGGCAGGAAGGGATTTGGAGCGGTGGTCAGTTGTCTGGCGTATCACCAGCGACACGCTGACCCTTCCGCCCGCAACTTTATCGTTCCACCAAAACAAATCCCAACAAGGAAAGTACCTTCGACCTTTATCGGAAATGAACCTTTTCAGAGCTAGTCCTGAGATCTGGGTCGTCCTGGGCGAGGACCTTCGTATTCTAGGCTCAGGGCTAACGTCCGACCACAATTTCTTTAGAAGCGTATATATAAATAGAGGGGTCATTCCTCTTCTGCTAGCCCCCTATTCTCAATTAAGTCCTCAATATGCGGGTTCTTCAGGCCACGCAAGTATCCCACATAGGTACGCATTATGCACATATAAACACACATGGGAATAAACGTGCGACGATCACATCTCACAATCACAGTGGGTCTCCTCATGCACATATATAAGATCGCAGGGCAGTCCAATCCAATAATCCAGGTCACAGAACATACCTGCAATCACATCACAGAGTCAAGCAGAAGTCCATACACTACACGGAGTCAACTCCAACTAATCTCCATGCTCATACCCTTCGCCTCAGCCATGCAAGCCCCAACCTCCAGCCAACCAACCTTAAGTAAATACTCAGTACGCTTGTTAAATGGCCATTCAATAAAAGTCCGGGTGAAACCTTAACAAAACAGAAAAGACCACCGGGGCTGAAGCCTCTTTAGGTTGAGTAAGGAAAGTGGGTTGAGGTTTAGGCGTAAACCGACGAATCGGCAACCGACCTGTTATTTGTGATAACAGAAGGTGATCCTTGCGGGATCAAAGCTGAATCTAGCCCCAAGTCCTGAATCAATCGATCAAGGAGACCTGCAACACAAGACAGGCCAATCTCAAGCTAAGTCTATGAGCTCATGGAGGATAACCTTCATATCACGATCTTACTCAAGCCACCACATTTAACTAGGTCTAAGCTGTATCTTTAGCCATCGCCCAAGCAAGGGTAGCCTATGACATAGTCTCTCCTACGTACGTCGCCACCTGCTGAAATACAAGCTAACCCCTCTAATTTAGGAAAATTTCGACAACGCTTCCCGTAGGAAAAGTGTCATCGCAGAAAATATATTAGTCCAAAAGTCAGACCTTTGAATTCCAGAAAGCAAAAATTTGTCTAACTCCCTGACTTAGCAAAAAATTGGGCAGCACTTCCTTCAGGGAGGAAGGCTTCCCAGATTCATACTAAGTCAGAATTGAACTTAGCCATAAAGTCTAAGTTCTGTCAAGGCAAACTTTTAACCAATCCCTTAGAATTGTAGAAATTTCAGCAGCGCTTCCCGTAGAGAAAGCGTCAGTCCAAGATTTATACAAAGCTAGGTTTGAAATCTGAAAATGACTTTGATCCTTCAGGGTCCAATTTTGACTAACACCCTGAATTAGTAAAAATTTAGGCAGCATCTCCTTTAGAATAGGAGGCTCCCCAGGTTCTTACTAAGTTAAAAAGTCGTCAAGGTCGGATCCTGAAGAAGTCAAAGTATTGACTAACTCCTTGATTTTGTAGAAATTTCCCGTAGGAAAAATGGCTTACCAAGATTTATACAAGACCAAGTATGAAAAAGATCCCAGAAACAATGCAGAAATTGACCTAAGAAAAAAGAAACGAGCCTGGAAAATGCAGGAATTGACTCTAACTCCTATGGCTCTAGCACGTGGCAGGCAACTACAGCAACTACCTATCAAAACCCAAACTCGGATTAAGAAGTGGCATCACTCAGTCACATGCAGGCCAAACCACAAACATGCACTCTCTCACCATCCCCAAGTTACCTTAGCATACAATAGTTCGTAGCCTTTCAATGATTTCTCCCTTATACCCAACTCACATAGGACATAAGACTAGACCACCCAAACTTATGGAACATATCTAGCCCAGCCAAGAAGTATACACAGACACAGGGCACAGCAACTTTTCTCTTCTTTGGGCATATGACCAGGCCATCCTAGTCGCCCTGAACTGTTTAAGTATCCAAGGTTTATATAATTGTCTGTACTTAGTCTTTTGAGGTAGCATATAGCTGAGTCGATCATCTTCAGCTCAAGACTCAGCCTTCCCCTTCGTACCACATGCTTATTCTTAGTTAAGTACTCTCTTCAGTTGGTGATAAGCTATAGCCAGGCCACCCAAACTTATGGAACCCTGCCTGACTAGCCTGTTCATAGATAACATAATAGCAAAGTATATCAAAGTTATAGCTTTCCGGTTCCAGCATGTGCGAGGCGTTGGACCAAGACCACCCAAACTTATGGAGCATGTCTTGGTCCTCAGCCTGGTTTATTTCTCTTAGACCAAAGCAGGAAGAGGTAGAGCCACCCAAACTTATGGGACATGCTCACCTCCTCGTTCAGAAACCAAAGAAACTGTCAAAACCCAAAATAAACAAGGCCGCCAGACTACCCAAACTTATGGATCTGACCGACTCCTGAAAAGCAATCACATTCAGCCCTCACAAGTTAGAGCAACCAGACCACCCTGAATATAGTACATGGTTATCTGCACAAGAAGTCCCCAAACCACTCAGCATTCTACTGTCACTTATTGTACACTCCCTATTTTACATGATCCTAGTTACAGGGCCACCTCATGCCGTAGGTCCCATCTGCACACTCAACGTCGTTCGTGTCCACCCTGCCTAAGTAACAACAAAATCGTCAAAGACATATCTAGTTTTTATTCAGGTGAACCAAACCCTACTCACTCATATCCTCTTGGTTCTGCCTGTACAACAGAGCTCTACCCCCATCTACAGCTCGTTCCACCACTCTACCCTGCCTATCATACATCTTCCCATCATACTCCGAGACCTTCCCGTCTACCTGGTCCTTAAGGAATTTGAGGCACTGCAATGCCCTGTGCTTTTCTTTCGTACAATGGAAGCAGGTCGAGTCAAAAGACTTCCTAGGCCTTTTCTTCTTCCGCTGGGGTCCTGCTGGCGATGGGGTTTCCTTGGCCTCTCCGTCCAACTCATGGTACTGAGGCACATCTTTGGGTCTCTCATATCCTGCCTCCGACTCTCGCGAACTGGGCCCTGGTTGCACCCTTGCTCCCTCTGGATCATAGTCAGGAATATCCAACCTCTGGGGCCTGCCTGCAATAATGCCTTCCATTGCACCTCCAGTTTCGCTCTCCAGGGACTCTTCCAACTTGGACTCTGGTGAAAACAAGCCAACATCCTCCTGCATAGAGTGGACTGCTTCTAGTAGCACGTCCAAGGATCCTCCTGTCGAGCCTTGGGGAGGCTCATCACTGGTCGAGGGCAGTCTCTCCTCAAGTGACGGTGGTATGGCAGGGTCTGCAGCCATCGTGGGTAGCACCGCAAGCTCCGTAGGGGCCCTGAATTCGAAGGCTTCCCTCTCAACCTTCCTTTTGGCCTCTGCCTCCTCAGGCTCCAAAATGACTCTTCCCATAGGTGCCTCTTGCTGAGGCTCAGCCATAGCTGGTTGCCCTGATATGCCATGTCCCGGTTGCCTCCCCTCTCCTGGCCGGCTACTCTCCGCCCCATCCCTGCCGCCATGGAGTTGCTGCTTCAATTCCACGATGGTGGCGGCCTGGCTAGTCACCAGAGACCTGAGCTCTCGGACTTCTGCCTCAATGGTCCCCAACCGTGACTCTAGCCCTGCTTCCTTCAGTTTCTTCCCTCTCAGATCCACCTCCAACATCATATGCCTGTCGACGGAGGTCTTGGATACGGAGCGAATCCTCTGATCCAAATAATCATCAGCTCTCTGTGAAGTTTCAGCCTCCGCCTTGCCTGGGGTCGTCAACCCTTCGCCATGACGAGCAAGAAACTCTCCCTACATCTATCGGAGCCCATAGGTTTATAGGGCGATGGCGGACTTGGGAGTACCCCTGCTGCTTCCAATCTTTGCCCCTCCTGCCGGATTTCCTCCCAGCATTTTGCCACTCTAGCCCACTTCTCCTCAGCCGTTTCTTTCGCTGGTATTTCCTCTACCGTGCGTTGTTCGACTTCCCCCGAGATCCCCGTTCCCACCTTTCTCTCGGCCTGACCTGGTTCCTGGAGTGACTCCATAGGTATGACCTCTTCCAGACTAGGTTGCTCTAGAGCGTGGGCGGCCAGATGGCTATCTATCATACTGTCTGCCTCCCTTCTCAGACTGACCCCCTCCGCCTCACTTGCCTCCATTCCTGTCGGCGATAGGGCTGTCTCCGGCACTGAGATTGGGACTTTCTCCCTTTGCACTTTCTTCCTCGTATCTGGCGGGCTCTCGAGTGGACTACCGAGCCTCACCCCCACGACCGGTCCTTGAGGGGGAGTGTCTTCCTCAACTTCTATAATCTCATCCCCAATCCGGTCTTTCGTAGCGCTCGGCCCCTCCTCTTGTTCAGGGTCTGGAACTTCCGCGATGGCCTCAATGCGCCCCTCACTCGTCGGCAGCTCTCTCCACTGGGCAGCGTCCAAATGTGCCTCTAACTCTTGCAATGACCCTTCAACGACCGGTATCTCTTCCTGTATATGTTGTGGCGCTTCCCCCAGTCCTCCTCCAGTATAGCGGTGGAACTCTACTAGCCCCAGTCCACCCTCGGGGTGCTCCTCCTGTCATTCTGCCTTAGGTACCGTTTCCTCCTCTCGCCTAGCGAGCGCCTTCCGTCCTCTCCGCGAGGTTCGGTCCTCAACGGGCTCAGGTTCCCTCTGCGTACAGCTCCTGAGGCGCCTTTCGACTCTAGGCTAAGGTGGTTCTGGCTGCCGGAATGCCACCCTCGGCAGAGGCTTGACAACTGCGACCTGGATGGACGCCGTGTGAATGATCAATCAAATTTGTGTTCTCCAAAGTGCGCTCTATAACCATCCCAATCTCGGGCCATATCCCTGATCTGTCTGGCCAAAGGTCTTTCCGCCTTTTGGGTCCACAGGGGTAACGTCGTCATCCACTCGCTTCGCAGTATTGGCTGGTCCTGCATGAATTGCTTGAATGCTCGGATAAAGTCATCTGCATTCCCAATCTCCAGTCGAATAGGCCTGCCATCAGGCCCCACCGGCGATGGTCGTAGTTCCTGCATCCGCGCCTCCACTTCCGACCTCGTTCGAGCCTCCCTGCGAATCTGTGCGATGGGCTCCATAAACCTGCCAACTCCCCTCAACCTCTCGACCATCTCAGTCACGGTCCACCCCATATGGTCAGCGTGGCCCCATAACTCGTCCATGAATAACTCGATATCCCCATCGTTATATACTGGAGTGCTTGCTCGACGGTAAGGCCCATGTCGTTCGTGTCCTCCTAATGCTCCCACTGGCCGTCGTGGTGGCCGTGTCCCCCTCCCTCCTCTTGGCATGACTGCAAGTCAGTTCTGCACAACAGGCGAAAAAGACAACAGGCACGCGCCGGGATAAGCAAACAGGCGACGAAGAGACACACTCAGGCCAAACCAAGCACATGCCCCCAAGCAATCCTCCTAATCTGCAAACCCATTTATTCCATTCTAAGGGGACTGGGTTGCCTATCTCACCTCTTCTCTGGCCACGAATTTCTTCAACCTCGTCCCTGACAGCCAGTCCTTCCACTCTGTTCCATTCAGCTCCTCGATCTGGTATGCGTCAAACTCTCCGCATCACACGATCCTATAGGGACCTAACCACCTCTTGTCCAGCTTCCTAGACCATTGTTTTTCCAGGGATGAATCATACAAGAGCACGACGTCCCCAACTACCAAGGGTACCTTTCTTACACGAGCCGACTAGTCCCAGCGAGCCTTATCGTCCATACGGCTCCTCTCTACCTGGTCGGATGCCTCTTGGACCCTTTCCTCAATCACGCCTACCTGCCGAGCTCGAATATCGAGCAATTCTTCAAAAGACAGATTTACCTCCAAGTCCTGATGCCTCCAAGTCTTTAGGAAGCTCTCGACTGGGAAGGTAGCATGTCTTCCATACCACAGTGTGGCCGGCGCGTACTTAGTGGTCCTTTTCACTGTGATGTTCTCMACGAAGAAGSCGRCCCTCAGATACCTCGGCCACTGGCTRGGCTTACCTTCGGTCCATTTTGCTAGTAGAGCCGTAATGGTACTATGACCYCTTTCCACCGGAGCATTTGCCTGTGGGTGGGCGGCCGTGGTGTAGTTAGCCACTACCCCATATCTAGACAGCAGCTCTTGCACCTCCTGACAGGTGAACTCCGACCCCCTGTCCATTACGAATTCCCAAACGAACGGGTAGCGTAGGTAATACTCCTCGATGCGGCTGACCAGAACTGGTCCAGTCTTCATACGGATTGCCCGTCCATCTACGAAGCTAGATAGGTTGTCGCGCGCATTGAAGATATAGTTGTAGCCATGATCTCCAAGGGGCATGAACAACAAGTCGAGGTGTACTACAGCCCCGACCTCTCTCTCCAGCCTTGGATGCAATGACTCTCCTGGCCTTAGACGAGACTGCTCCTAGCACGGCACACAGGAACGGCAGAATTTCCCAACCATCTCCATCATCCCGTCCCAGTAGTATAGCTCACTTATTTTGGCATATGTGGCAGTAATTCCACGGTATCCGACTGCAATGCCATCGCGAAGCGCTGCTATGACGTCGATCCGACGGTTGCGACCACATACCACCCGCCTGGGGTTTCCTACTTTCCTTCTTACGAAGAGATGACCGTCCCTTACTAGGCAGCGATCCCTCATCATTTGCACCCTATGGCTTGCGTCTCTATCACGCATCTCGGAGGATAAGAGAAGTCCCAGCTCTAGGTAAATCCCATCATACTCCTCTATGCGGAATGCCTCCTTGATCTCTCCTTCTTCGAACTCATCATCCTGGCTCTCCAACGCAGTACCTCTTCCTTCGGCCAGATTTAGTGAGCTTTCCAAATCAAGGGACTCCTGCAGAAGCGTGTTGACGAGGAGGTACATCCCTCCCACCAAATCCTCGTGGTGTTTTACCTTATGCGGGCCCTCCTCTATCGCCAGTACCTCATCCACCATACAATGGCTACCTGCGAGTGCCAACTTAGTCATCCATTGGATGTCCTTACCACCCCAGGGATCCTCTTCTTCGAAAGGCTTGAGCACCAACTCAGCTCTTCGCTCATACCCCTTAGGCGCGTCCCAGATAGGATGGCCAACGCAGCTGGGGACTCGCGGGGACCACTTATTGATGTGGAGGCGGATGTCCTCGTCCTGGTCCAGAAAGCCATCAACTGGATCTCACACTAAAGGTCGGTCAGAGTCATAAGCCTTTAGAGCTGCTCCTCTCCCGGGCGCAGCCCACATCTCACAATCACAGAAACTACCCCGTTATCGCGGAATCTGGATCTGCCATCGGATCCACAGCCACTCCAACCCGTCACTTCATAACCTCCTCCGTGTGTTCTCGCTGAGAAGAGAGTGACAGCACCACTTTTCTGCTCCCTTTCGCCCTTGCTGCCACCATATCTCAGCGCACCCTTTTTCCTAACTAACTCTCACTCTACTAATCTACCGCAAAAAACGATTCTGCCATCAGCTCCGCCTTGCCTCAAACCCCCCAGATAGCAGCCTGATTCGTCTAAATCGGTCGAGAATTGACCGAGATACACAAAAAGCTCCCTTACCTTTCCTCCTTGCTCGTATCTGGCCCCGGTCCTAACTAGCTTCGAGCGCCTTGTGAGAGCCCACCATGCGCAGCAAGAACACCAAGATGATGAGCATGTGCAACGGTGCTGTCAGCAGCCGAGCCCTGATGATGCCCATAAGCACCTGCTGGATCGAAGGCAGTTATGGTGAATACGACCAGCTTTGACGAGCAGCACAACCATCTGCAACACCTTGGCCATGGAGACACGGTCGGGATGGTGACGATGCTTGGAAGAGCAGCACGGCCCGGGAACGGCAGGCTCCGCCTCACTACTCACCAAAAAGTGCAAAATGAGAATGAATCTTCGACTAGATGAATCTTCCACTAGATGAATCTTCCACTAGAGCACGGGAAGATACATTGCACTATGTGGAGGTACGTTCTCCTTCCTCACGCAGCCCCTGCACCCTGTACCGCCAAACCCGCTGCTCTAACCCAAAATCTAGCACGCCCATCCTCTCCGCAATGCCTCTAAACCCCCGGATAGCATCTTGGATCGTCCAAATCGGTCAAGAAACGACCAAGATACAGCAATTTTTGCATCGCCGTTCCCCCTCATCACCCTTTTCGACTCCTCCGCGCACCTTCGATCTTCTTTT